TTAAAGCTGTGAGAAGTGGTCCAATGGGAGACTTGGTCTATCACAACCTGAAGGGAGGCTGCTACTAGTCGACAGTCAGCGCTCGAGTAAGCTAAAGCGAAGCCATCAACATAAAGTGATGACCAAGTATGCGAAGGAAGAATGGAAGGTACGTCATTTATAGATAACAGAAAAAAGAGCAGTACTGAAGACACAACCTTGTGGGACTCCTTCGGCTTGTATGAAGTCTGAGGAAAGCGAGGTGCCAATACAGACCCAAAAATGTCTATTGGACAAGAAAGCAGCGATGATGTTTGGTAGATTACCGTGGAGGCCTAAGGAGTGGGCTTGGGCTAGAATGTTATACCTCCAAGTGGTGTCATATGCCTTCTCTAGATCGAAAAAAGACCGCTAGGACAGAGTGGTTGTTAGCAAAGGCATTTTGAATATACATACGTATTGAAGTGGAGCAAGGGGTCTAAAGTAGAGCGGCCTTTGCGAAAGCCATATTGGCAAGGGGAAAGGCTGTTGTGTCTCTGTAAGAATCACATCAGACGTCTATTCACTAATCATTTCATCACCTTGCAGACCACACTGGTCAGGGCAATAGGATGATAGTGAGAGGTGTCGAGCCCTGAGGCATCTGGTTTGCGAACCGGTAGTACAATAGCTGATTTCCAATGTTGTGGGAGAACCACTCACTCCCAAATTAGATTGAAAAGATGCAAAAGAATGGGAAGGGTCATAGAATGGAGATGCTGTAGCATACTGATGCGGATATCAAGTCCCGGCGTTGATGGCCGGCACATGGAAATCGTGGATTCTAATTCCAGTAGAGCAAAAGGTACATTATACGACTCCAATCCATTGGAGGAGAAATCTAAGGGCAATTGCTCTTTGGTAGGTTTAGACGCAAGAAATGGGGGACAGAGGCAAAGCCCTTGGGAGATACGGACAAGATAGTTCCCAATTTCTGTGGCAACTTCTAAAGGTTCTGCGACATCAACTCCAGTAACCCGCAAAATGGGAGCTGAGTCCAGAGTGTACTTACCACACAATTTCAACACCTTTTTCCAAATAGTGCGCATAGGAGAAGACGAGGTAATGGTAGACACACAGTCTCGCCAACAAGCATGTTTAGCATCACGTATGATGCGGCGAGCAACTGCCTTTGCCTGCTCAAAGTCCAAGAGATGCTCCATGGTACGTTTATATCGATAACGGCCCAGCGCAGCACGTTTTAAACATACAGCGTGGGCACATGTAGGAGACCACCAAGGTACGCATGTCTAAGAATGCCTACCTGAAGTTTGGGGGATAGAACGAGTTGCTGCAGTTAGGACTAAGGTCAAAATATGGTGTGCCAGTTCATCAATAGATGACGAAAAGAGGTCCTCGCAACAGGTGGTACGATGAGAGTACAAGTCTCAATCTGCTTCAGTAAACTGCCAAGGAGGGTTATGAAATGGTCGGGTATATGTAGTAGAAGTAAGGATAGGAAAGTGATCACTATCATGTAAATGTGGAAGAACAGACCACATGAAATTAAGTGCAATGGGCAAGGAACAGATAGAAAGATCAATGCAGGAGAGAGACTGAGTGTGAGAGTCAAAATGGGTAGGAGCACCTATTATTAAAACATGAAGAGGATGAGAAGCGAGGAGTCTCTCCAATAGATCACCACGAGTCGCAGTGGGACCCTCCCGCACAGGTGATGGTGAGCATTAAAATCACCCAACAACAAGATGGGTGGCGGTAGAGAAGATATTAAAAACACGATATCGAGATACAGAATGCACAGGAGGGAGAAAGATAGAGCAGACTGTAAACCACCTGTGTAAATAAATCCGAGCTGCAGTATAATGCAGCCAGGAACGAATAAAAACTTGTTGATATGGTATATCAATGCGCACAAAAAGCGTGCTTTCATTAAATGATTCGTCAGGTAAAGGATCTGGAGAGCAACACTTGGAGTTCTCCTCGATTGCCCCTAAGGCCACGATTATTCCATTGTAAAAAAGACATTATGTACAGAAATAAAACTGGCAACAATAAGAAACGATAAAACCTATGGGCTTTTAGGATCTGTAAAATCAACGTGTGGGGGTAACGGTAAGAGTGTAAGCAAGGAAGAATGTGAATGTTGCAGAGGAATAGTGTGTTGTAAGGGTTGCAAAATAGAAGGGGTAGGAGGAGTCTTGTTGGTGTCCATTGGGAGTGTCATCTTCGCAATATATTTGGAGATAGTGTCTAATGTCTCTGTTGTTAAGAAAGCCAACAATCCCATGATGTCAGAGACAGGAGAGGCATTGCAAGGAAAGGTCGAAGTAACTACAAAGGGAACTAAAGAGGTCTGAGGGGGGGCAGGGAGTATGAACCTGGAGAGATGTGTTGGCTGGGGTAGAAGAGACCTGCAGTGTAACAGGAGAGGAAGGAAGTTGGAGGGTAACTATGGAGGAAGACGTTGGAGAACAGGGGAAGAGGGGACTACACGAGGGAGGTGAACCTCTACCTTCGTGTGAGAACTGGAAAGGGGGTGAGAACGAGGCTCCAAGGTAGGATATATATATTCTGTGCAGGTGATGGACGTAATAAAAGTATAGGTGTGCGAGGTCTCGTAGGCTGAGAAGCAAGCGAGTGAGATGAAGAAGTAGAAGTAGGAAGTGGTGCGGAGGTAGGAGTGGTTAAAACTTCAAAAGAAATAGAAACTGGGGCGACCCTGGAAGACACAGACACAGAGGGATTGGGAAGCGGAAGGACCGTCGAGGTTGGAGGTCTTTGGGCTACCTGAGCATATGGGACACGAGGAAGTTTACCTTGAAGGCGGAGCTAAGAGACAGTCTAGTGTAAGTGAGGCCCTCACACCCATTAAGATAATGGATCTCTCGTTCATTACGATAAACCTGGCAACGGTGTGAAAAAGAAGAGACAAGACGGGAGAAGACTACAAGACATATTGGAATGATCTGTTGCAATGCAGACCAGGCAATCTGCTGCAGATCTGCAGTGTTTAGCGGGGTGTCCATAACGACAGCAATTACGACACTGTTGGGGAGTGGGAACTACTTGGCGGACCTCTGGGGGATGTCCCGCAATATAGACAGAGGACGAAAGTTCATGGCAGTTGAAGGGTAAACAGAGCGATGTTACTAGGAAAATGCCTCCGCCCACGAGCAGGCAGGATGTATGTATCTACCTTGAGAATAGGGAGGTTCTGAAGGGTTAATTGTTCTAAAAATCCTTGCCGCAAGACAAAAAATCGCTCTGTACAATGGTACGTAACGTGGTAAGACCACAGTACCACTGCAAGAATTATGAGTAGTGTGGTTACGAATGGTGACTGGTATGTTATCTATGGGAGTGATGCGGGAGAGAGCATGAGCTTGCTCTAAATTCTGCACTGTTACGACACGCGCACCTCTTCGAAGAGCATGGAAGGATATATTTTGGCCAACATGTCATAAAGGTGTTTTACCAATTCCATGATCAGAAAGATAATCAGTTTGAGACGTCGTTTATAAAGAAAAGAATTTTGTCCATTGCAAACTCATTAGTCCAGTACGCAAAGGCAGTGAGTGTCGTGTAGGTCGTTTCTGAGTGGACATTGATGAACTGTCGTCAGTAGATTGTCTTGGATGCTTAGGAGTAGAACCAAGGGCGGTCTGACCCGAGGGAGGTGGACGATCCGAGAACCATTGCACCGTATTCGGGGAAACTGGATGCATTGTGAAAGGTGTGCTAGAAGCAGCAGCACGAACAGAAATGGGTGACGTCGCAGCATCTGAAGCAGGTGATGAGGTGTCACCGGCAGAAAGTACAGGGGTATGAGAAGAGTCGAGAGAATGGTCACATAATGAAGCCAGGTCAGAACAAGGTGTGGGATCAGAATGGGGCCTGGGAGGAGGAAGGGTCTCACAGGGTGAAGACTCCATAATAATAGGTGCATCTTCTTTTTTGTTATTTTAAGAAAAAAAGAAAGAAAGAAGGAAAGGAAAAAAAGAGGGACAGTCACTAGGAGGTACGGAGGGGCCAAAAGTTCTTCCCCTCATCCAAGAGGGCTTCGAGCCCACTGGCAGTAAAGATGCAGCATGGAACCCGTGCCATACCCTACCCATCACGCCAATAAACCAGCGCTCCTGGACAGCAGCCTCACATACACCGAGCTACCTTGGCGGACAAAAGAAAGGACGGTCAGAAACCCGCCACAAAGCATACCTCCTTCGACTGTCACCCCCCAGAAACGACAGGCAGCTTCCGGAGATACACCCATCATCTAAAGGGTACCCCACCCACGACCCGGAAATCTGGGAAGGGAGCAGGGCATCCTCAGACAACTCAGATTCCACGGCAAACAGCACCACCCCCGAGGGAACTCACAGAGTGGGATGAACCCCAGAATGCCATCCCCTACCTAGAAACTGTAATGCCAGAGGGGAGGACCCCAGAGGCTACAAATAGGATGGGAAACAAGAGGAGGGTAGGGAGAGGGGAGGAAAGGGGAAAAAAGGGGGGTATAGGGAGGGTAGGGTAGAGAAGGGAGGATTGGGGGGTAATTAGGTTCAGTCGGAGGAAGAAGACCAAAAGGCCCAATTCCTCAGATCGATAGCCTCTTTACTGCTATAAGGAGCCCCCCTTAACGAGGGGAAGGGATGGAAAAAGGGAAGGGGACAATTAGCTTTAGTCTAAGGAAGTAAACAAAGAGGTTCAATTCCTTTGATCAAGAGCCTTTTCACATGGAACCCCCCCCTCCCCCTTCCCTAAAGAGGAACAAGTTAATTGCATCAACAGTTCACAGAGGATTTCCCCACACTAGTGTTGACTGCATAACCTGTGATTAGAGTAACAGTTCACAAAAATAAGCACTAAAACCATATGGGCATTCAGCATTGCTCCACTGAAAATACAGAGCTTCCCCAGTGCTCATGTGGGACTGGCTAATATTGAATTAAGATGCTAAATAGCCAACTGTGGTAGAGTACTTTAAACTTAACTCTTTGTGAAGGTGGAAAGCAGTTAATGTGTAAATTTAATGGAAAGAATATATTTATTACATTTTAATGTTAACATTTCAAAAATTTGCAAATGTATATAATGTACCAAATAACTAGTCTTCAACAGCATATTACTATGTAATGATATCTAATAAAAGATACATTTACAGAGTTCTAAAATAAGCTATCATACTTATGACAATCACCTTGCTCTATATTTTAACTACTGATCTTTTCTGACTATTCTCTATTGTTCTGCTTTTCTTCTTCTTTTGCTTTTCTTTTTCATCAATAATTTTCCTCTTGTTTGTCAGTCGCACTACCTTCTCGGCCTCTTTTCTCTCTTTCGTTCTAAGGATGCGATACAGTCTCTTCTGTTTTCTTGGAATCATCATAACAGACAACCTTGTCTCTTCTTTCTCTCGCCTATTTTTTTCAGATTTTTTAACTATGACTTCAGAACCTTCATGAACAGCCATTTTTTCTATACTAGGATTCTGCACTGCTTCTTTTACTTCTTCAATTTCTTCTAGTTCCACATCACATTTTTTGTCTGAAAAATAGCATGCTTTCATGATTACACATCCATAATTTATGTGCAATTTATAACGGATTCATTTTCAGTACTAAAGCAAAAATAAGATACAAAATTTAGCCGTAGACACTAAGAGATTTGGAAGGCTGATAGCCACTGTTAATTACTGTGAGGGACAGTCAACTTTTATATAATTTTGATAATTGTGAGATGTGTGTGTTCTAACTGATGTGACAATGTACAATTCCTGCATATTTATTAATGAAACTTTACTGTGATCATTGTTCAGTATTATCTTCCATATTTTTAATAATTTTTATACTATTAATAATAAAGAAAGAGGCACTCTTTTCATCTCCAAAACTGAAATTCCTTGAGACATAGCACTGCCAAAACATTTAACCTCTTAACTGTCCAAACGTAGATCTACGTTACCGCTAGCGCTCCACACGAAGATCAACATTTTATTTTTCCTGCCTCCAAATTTGGCACAATTGGCCTGAGATGCCTGGTCAGTATAGAATAGGTCTTAACACTTGATGTACGCAGTATTAAAAAAAATCTGGGACCACTTAACCCTTTGTCTGTTTTGGTCGTACATATACGTCTTACGAGGTATCGTGTTTGACGTATATATACTCAAATTCTAGTGGCTTCAAATCAAGTAGGAGAAAGCTGGTAGCCCCACATGTGAGAGAATAGGTCTGTGTGGTCAGTGTGCACCATATAAAAAAAATCCTGGAGCATGCAGTGCATAATGAGAAAAAAAAAAAACTCTTGACCGTTTTTTTTAATTAAAATGCCGACTTTGTAGTCTATTTTCGTATAGTATTTATGGTTCTATTCTCGTTTTCTTGGTCTCATTTGATAGAATGGAAAACATATTATAGAAATAGAGGTGATTTTGACTGGTTTTACTATAAAAAGAACCTGTAAATGGAGCTCAAAGTAGTGGAAATGTCTGATTTTTGCTGATGTTCAAAAGTAAACAAATGATGTCATTGTCCAATAAATGTCCAACTAGCCATTCTAATATGCAGTCATGAATGGGTTGACATTTTTATACAATTATTATAATATTGCAGTAGTCTGCATAACAGTAAATCTTCTATTTTTTGTCTGAATAAAAATTCAAAATAGAAAGCAAGAGTAATATCAGAGGGGCCTGGAGATGTGACTGATGAGCAAAGAAAATGTTATTTTAGAGCCAGGAATGTCTGCATTGTTCATTCTGAACCTTATTTTGAAATTGTCATTTCTTTTAATTTTCGTGAAATTGGCCAAATTGCAAATTTCTGACCATGTTATTAGGTAGATGAAATCGGTAAATGGGCAGTTTCTAGTACTCAGTCGATAGAAAAATATCGCCACGGTCGCTAACTTCGCTAGAGCATAATTCCGTCAGTTTTCCATCAAATTTTGTTCTTTCGGTGTTATTACAATCGGGAAAAGATTATCTATCATTTCATAAGAAATATTTTTTTTTTTTGGGGGGGAAATTTTGCGACACAAGGAGACACCTCAGGATTTGGGGATGCGACAGTCAAGGGGTTAAAGTTCCTCAAAATATTCCAGTCATCTACCCAATACCTCCAGTTCCCCATCTACTAACTCCCCTACTCTGTTTTTAACTGACAAATCCATCCGTTCCCTAGGCTTTCTTAACTTGTTTAGCTCGCTCCAAATTTTTTTCTTATTTTCATCAAAATTTCTTGACAGTGCCTCTCCCACTCTATCATCTGCTCTCCTTTTACACTCTCACCACTCTTTTCACCTTTCTTTTACTCTCTCTATATACTCTGCTCTTCTTATATCACTTCTGTTTTGTTAAAACCTCTCATATGCTACCTTTTTCTCTTTTATCACCCCCTTTTAAACTTAAATCATTCCACCAATCACTCCTCTTTCCTCATGCACCCACCCTCCCATAGCCACAAATTTCTGCCCCACATTCTAATACTGCATTTTTAAAACTATTCCAACCCTCTTCAACCCCCCATCCCCACTACTCATACTTGCACTAGCCAACCTTTCTGCTAATAGTTGCTTATATCTCACCCTAACTTCCTCCTCCCTTAGTTTATACACTTTCACCTCTCTCTTACTTGCTGTTGCCATTTTCCTTTTGTGCCATCTACCTCTTACTTTAACTGTAGCTACAACTAAATAATGATCCAATATATCAGATGCCCCACTATAAACATGTACATCCTGGAGCCTACCCATCAACCTTTTATCTGCCAATACATAATCTAACAAACTACTTTCATTACATGCTATATCATACCTTGTATACTTATTTATCCTCTTTTTCATAAAATATGTATTACTTATTACCAAACCTCTTTCTACACAGCTCAATTGAAGGTTCCCCATTTTCATTTACCTCTGGCACCCCAAGTTTACCTACTACTTCCCTCACAACATTTTTACCCATTTTAGCATTGAATTCCCCAACCACAAGTACTCTCTCACTTGGTTCAAAACTCCCACCACACTCACTCAACATTTCCCAAAATCTCTACCTCTCCTCTACACTTCTCTCTTCTCCAGGTGCATAAACACTTACTATAACCCATTTTTCACATCCAACCCTTATTTTACTCCACATAATCTTTGAATTTATATATTTATATTCCATCTTTTCCTGCCATATCTTACCCTTCAACATTATTGCTACTCCTCCTTTAGCTCTAACTCTATTTGAAACCCCTGACCAAATCCCATTTATTTCTCCCCACTGAAACTCTCCCACCCCCTTCATCTTTATTTCACTTTAAGTCAGGACATCCAGCTTCTTTTCACTCAAAACATCCACAATCATCTCTTTCTTATCATTCGCACAACATCCACGCACATTCAAACATCCCACTTTGACGGTTTTCTTCTTTTTCTTTTTAGTAGGCTATACGGGAAAAGGGGTTACTAGCCCATTGTTCCCGGCATTTTGCTTGACTTTTACAACACGCATGGCTTAAGGAGGAAAGATTCTTATTCCACTTCCCCATGGATATAAAGCGAAAAGCAATTAGAACATGAACTATTAAGATAAAATCAAAGAAAACTCAGATGATAACCTAACCTAACCTAACTTAACCCAAGTGTGTACAGTGGACCCTCAACCAGCGATATTAATCCGTTCCTGAGAGCTCATCGTTAGTCAAGTTAATTTTCCCCATAAGAAATAATGGAAATCAAATTAATCCATGCAAGACACCCCAAAGTATTGAAAAAAAAAATTTTTACCACATGAAATATTAATTTTAATACACACAAACTGAAGACATGCACAGTTACATGACACTTACCTTTACTGAAGATCTGGTGATGATTGATGGGATGGGAGGAGCGGAGACCGTTGATCTTGTTAGTGTTTAGAAGGGGAATCCCCTTCCATTAGCACTTGAGGTAGCAAGTCTTTTTCTGGGGTTACTTCCCTTGTTTTTTTAAATTTGCCACTGGACCAGCTTCAGAGTCTTTGGGAAACTTCTGTCGCACAACATATCTGTCCATAGAGGCCTGTACCTCTCGTTCCTTTATCCTAGTGTTTCACAACATTGTCAGTGTAATAGTCACCAGCACGGTTGCAATAGCTGTTGTGAGGGTGATTTTTCATCAAAAAAAAGGGTTTTGCACTTTAAGCCACATTTTCACACATTCCTTAATCTTTGAAGTAGGCAACTTTTCAATTTCTCTCTCCCCTCCTCCGAAGCAGTTTCCTCAGGTGTGGCCTCTTACTGTTGAAGATGATTGCAGCTCATCAGTGGTTTGTTCTTCATCGTCCTCCTCCACCAACTCTTCCACTCCAAACCTCACCAAAATGAGCACTAGTTCCCGGCATTTTTTTCCTGTTCACCTGGGTGTTAGTCAACTGTTGTGGGTCGCATCCTGGGGGACAATATTAAGGATCCCAATGGAAATAAGTTAGACAGTCCCGATTTATGCACGACTTTCTTGGGTTATCCTGGGTGGCTAACCCTCGGGGTTAATTGTTTCTCGGTAATTGTTTCACGTTAAGCCACACCAAACAACCACTCTCCCACATCTTCGAGTATACAGCTGATGGTGGTGCAGCAACAACAACAGCTGACTGTGGTGCAGCAGCAGCTGCACCTTTGGCAAGAACAGCTTCCTTGATTGCCGTTTTCTTACCCACAATAGTAGCGATGGTTGATTGGGGTTTATTATATAACCTGACCCTCCGGGGTTAATCGTTTCTCGGTAATTGTTTCACGTTAAGCCACACCAACAACACTCTCTCCACATCTTCGAGTAATACAGCTGATGGTGGTGCAACAACAACAGCAGCAGCTGCACCTTTGGCAAGAACAGCTTCCTTGATTGCCGTTTTCTTACCCACAATAGTAGCGATAGTTGATTGGGGTTTATTATACAACCTGACCAGCTCAGAGACATGCACTCCACTTTCATACTTAGCAATGATCCCTTTCTTCATCTTCTCACCCTTTTTGCTGTAGGGTTGGCACTAGAAGCTTTCTTGGGGCCCATGGTGACTTATTTTGCAGGTGCAATCACTACAAAGGCTGTGATAATATATGTTCCAGTTGTATGTTTGGAAGCAACCGCGGTGGCTGGCTGGCTTGTAAACACTGTCACCCAGGGGACAAGTGAGGCGTGCTCAGGCCAAAGTGGACGCGTATGGTACGGAACGAATAGCGCTGGTCAGGTTTTTAAGCGCTAGTTGAGGCAAAATTTTTGCGTTAAAATGTATCGCTAGTCAGATTTATCGTTAATCGATGCCATCGCTGGTTAAGGGTCCACTGTATATACAAACGTGTACATATATGTATGTGTGACCTAAGTCTAAGTAGAAGTAGCAAGACATACCTGAAATCTTGCATGTTTATGAGACAGAAAAAAAGACACCAGCAATCCTACCATCATTATAAGGCATAATAAGCATGACTGGCAAGTAATACTTGTTCAGGAATCAGATGTGACCACTCTGCATTGTGTAATACCCCACTGGATCATGAGCGGCTCTCTGTCCGAGACAG